ATTCTATCACAGCGGGGCCATGGTGGGTAAGGGGTTACATAGCTCACAGTGGGGACCGCGGCAGGTAAGGGGTTACATAATCTATCACAGCGGGGACCATGGCAGGTTAGGGGTTACATATTTTATCACAGCGGGGACCATGGCAGGTAAGGGGTTACATATTCTATCACAACGGGGCCATGGTGGATAAGGGGTTACATAATAGCTCACAGTGGGGAACGCGGCAGGTAAGGGGTTACATAATCTATCACAGCGGGGACCATGGCAGGTAAGGGGTTACATAATTTATCACAGCGGGGACCATGGCAGGTAAGGGGTTACATAATCAATCACAGCGGGCCATGGCAGGTAAGGGGTTACATATTCTATCCCAGCGGGGACCATGGCAGGTAAGGGGTTACATATTCTATCACAGCAGGGACCATGGCAGGTAAGGGGTTACATATTCTATCACAGCGGGGACCATGGCAGGTAAGGGGTTACATAATAGCTCACAGTGGGGACCGCGATGGCAGGTAAGGGGTTACATATTCTATCACAGTGGGGACCGCGGCAGGTAAGGGGTTACATAATCTATCACAGCGGGGACCATGGCAGGTAAGGGGTTACATATTCTATCACAGTGGGGACCGCGGCAGGTAAGGGGTTACATAATCTATCACAGCTGGGACCATGGCAGGTAAGGGGTTACATATTCTATCACAGTGGGGACCGCGGCAGGTAAGGGGTTACATATTCTATCCCAGTGGAGACCATGGCAGATAAGAGGTTACGCAAAATCCAGCACCTGGCTGCGGTCCCTAGGCCCCTGGAAGGGAAGGGGTGCCATAAATTCATCCTTGCATAGCCTCTGATACAGCCTGCATTAGTGGGGGGTTGGTTAACCCTCTATCTGCCAAAATATTATTTTTCTCCCTGATATACTCCACCGAAATCTGTTACCCTAACACACAGGGAGGGGGTCTCTGTATGATGGTGACCTGCAATGTGATGCATTACCACTGACCGTTATGGGCTTCCCAATGCACTATAATGCAGACAGAATCTGGATCAGCTGCCCATAGTAACCAATCAGCTTGTTCAGTTAAGATTTGAAAATGAAAGCTAGAAGCTGATTGGTTGCCACGCACAGCTGCTCCGGATTATCATCTTTGATCCCAATGGAACTCATCACTTCATCAATTTGGTATTCCCGGTGTATCACGGGTTGACATTGGCAGGAAACATCAGAGACATTCTACAAGACTTGTCCACCTCCAAAGAGAGGTCATCTTAGACCTACCCTGCCGATAAGTGCCCCGTACATGACTCTCAACGCCAAATCCCATGGAATGTGTGGAATGGAAGATACGATCATTAAGCTCTTGAACCATCCTGTGTGTCATCTTCCAGACCCTATGGACGGGTGGCTTGGTTGGTGGATGGCCCACTCTATTGTAGGTCAGGCCATCTGCCACCAAGGAGGAACACTCTCTGGGGGTGGACTTGTTCATCTCTTACCTGTATGTTTCTTTGACATTATGTTTACTATTTAAATACAAAATCCATATTTGAATTTTAATAAAGTTACATACTGTCTTATTCTTGATCAGCAGTTGACCCAAGTGGACATAACAGAGTCAGTGCAGTCAACCGGAAAGAGACTTTCACGCATGATGGTCACCCATCCTGGCCGTGTTGGGTTGGAACCAGTGTTGTCCTTATAGAAAGCCTCCACTGATCCCCTTCCCCTCTACACTCACATAAACATGAATGATTAGGCCGAGATGAAGGTTTATGGACTTGACAGATGGTGGTTGTGCCTGAGGGAGGTCAGATCATGCGTGCACATCTTACCAACCTGGGAAGTCTTTAGGCACCTCAATGTGGACTTAGTAGGACTTTTCAAGCTTTAAAAAGAAGTAGTCACAACAAGGTGGAGCCTCAATATAATACCCCCCCTCCCCCCACCCCCCATGAGTACCTCTCTGAAACTATTTTTGTTCACGTTTTGAGGACATATTCTAATGACCATTTGCCTGTCCAGTGGTAGTCCAATTGTATTCCATTGGTAGTGCCCCAGTGGCCCATAATGGCATCCTCATTGGACAAGATAATTGCACTTGATGGACCTTCAGGAAAGCCATTCTCCAGTAACAAAGTGAAATTCTATTAAAGCTAATGCTGTGATGGGACTTTGCAACACATTACATATGAATGTGGCCATCTTGGCATAAGGAGCCCTTTCAATGTGTGATAGTAATGTTTCAAAACCTTGTTCTCCATCTGGTTTGTAATCATATATCTATATGGCATCTATACTTGCTCATTCCCTATGCAACCGGTGCTTCTCTGCCTTACAGTGGCCGTGCTTCACTCTTCCTATTGCTCAGTTCTGGTCCATTAGTCTGATTGAAAACAATAGGTTACCAAACGGTCTCTTAGCAGTTGTTTAGCAGAGATGCTGACTCTACTGTCTAAAACACAATCCACTGCAGGAGGGATCTGTACATCAGTACATGACTGAATGTTGTACTCTGTAGTAACGGGACCTGCTTTCCTCTCACATTGAGAAATCCCCACACATGACGTCATAAGTGCTCCTTATTGCTAAACCGAGAGTTGCACTGGCACATTAAATCGTGGGTGGGGCTAAGCCATCCGTGGCCAGCCAATGACACACAGGCATGACAATATAAAACAGCAAACATGGTAAAAATCTGAACGTTGCAAATCTGATTCAAGTGATAAGTACTCATTATTGCTGAGAGTTGCATTGGGCCATCCCATTGGGGGTGGGGCTAAGCCATCCATGACCAGCCAATGACATACAGGCATGTAACTATAAAACAGCAAATGTCAATGTAGCTTTAAAAATCCCTTCCCGGGCTTAAGTGCTCATTATTGCTCAACTGAGAGTTGTGTTGGTCCATCCAATTGGGGGTGGGGCTAAGCCATCCATGACTAGCCAATGACATACAGGCATTAAACTATAAAACAGCAAATGTCAATGTAGCTTTAAAAATCCCTTCCCGGGCTTAAGTACGCCATGACACCCATGCGGAGAAAACAAGATAGGTTGCCTCTGCTGACCACCCCTAAAATGCTATTTGCCTGGACACTTTTTGAGCCACCGACACATAAGTCCCCATGCAACTCCTGACCCGCATCCTTGACCCAGGTCGCCGACTCAAAAGCGATCCAACCTGCTGTATGAGCCAGGCAACCAGCATCTTCAAAAGGAGCGTTT